GCCACCGGCCGGGCCTCTCCGCCGCCCGGCCTCGCAGCCTCTGCCTTGCTGCTAGCGGGAAGGAAGTTTACTTAGTGCTGATGGCTGAACTCCGAGCAAGCGCTGGAGGAGCTCGCCGCCGCCTCCCTTCCCCGCGCTAACACTTCCCCTCGACCCGCGGGGACGAGATAGGGTGCCTTAGACTGTTCAGGGCAGTTACGGTGGGGACCTGGGTCGGGGCGCGAAACCCCGGTGCCGCTGCCGGGGTGGAATGAATACTCTTTTCGGCCGGTTGCTGCAGAGACAGCGCAAACGAACTGGGAAAGTGCTTATCCAGGCGTCTTTCACCCCGTTTATGCACTCCTAGTCCCCCAATATCTGGAGGTTTGGTATACGTCCTCTGCAGATCGCGTTGCCCCCTACTTCCAGAGTGGTCGGAGGAAAGAACTGTGGGGTGGTTTTGCAGTGCTGGGGTGGGGGTAGCCAGTCAGAGAAGACCCCTGAAACAGAGGCGGGCCGCTTTCCCCAATGGAGGCGACCACTGCGGGGTCCCGAAAGGACCGGACAAATCCAGAAGAAAGTTTGTGTGCAAGCGCTGCTGTGGGGCGTAGGCGGGAGTTGGGGGTGTGGAAGGAGCCCTGGAGGTGGTTCGCACTGTAGGAGCCTGCGAGTTCCCAGGCCCAGCGCCCGAGGCGGTGGAGCGGCGCCTGGGTTCGGGTCATCCCGCACATGTTCGCCTCTCGACTGTGGGAGGGCAAGGGGCAACCCTGGCGGGTTCTCCACACATCCGGACGCCTGTCGACATGCTCTCGTTCCGGGGAGCCTTTGGGGGGAACCAGAGGCGGGAGCTGGACCTCCGTCTCTCCCCCAGAACTCTGAAGCGTGCCCTGAGATCCGTACCACTGTCCACGGAGCTCTGCGACCGCCCGGCCCCACGGCCTAGTCTGGGGCTTCTTCCCCAGAGGCCTGGCGCTGAGTTTGGCTGGGGCGTGGACGGGCACAACCGGCAGCGACGCCAAGGGACCCTCTTCCTTTATGCTGGCTGTCGAGAGAGGGGATCCGCACAGTGGGATCCCTGTAAAAATTGGGGATCTAAGGCCCATTAAGAAAACTGTTTAGAGTACAGTATTTAGTCCTTCCAAGTACTTTCTCAAGCTTGAAGCTTTATCCCGACTCTCTGAGGATTCACAGTCCGCTGAAAGAACCCTGACAACTCCTGCGCCCCCCCTCCCCACCACCACCAGCACAAGGGGACTCGGGTACACCGGGCAAACCGAGGTGAAATTACCCAAGGCCGCGACAAGCAGTCAGTATTTTTCTGGATTTTCTCAGCTTGTTTCTTAAGGTTCTCGCCCTCACAATATTTCCTAAAGTTTCTTTTGAGACCTTCAGCACCATAGCACGGTTAAGGTTAACAATTTGTATGCGGAAAAACCAAACTACAGAGAAGAGGAATTTTGTTAGACTTTTTTTTTTCTTCAAGACAGACTCGGCCATCTGAAGAAATGATGCTTGCTAGTTCTGTGCCATGCGCCTTTGTGGATCTGGAATTTTTAATAGTTCAGACTTCTCATAAAGCGATAGCATAAAAGGAGTTCACTGCCTCTTACCATTATTATTTATTAGTGCTATTTTTTAGTTTATTTGAGCTTTGAGCTGTTAAGTGAGTCAAGTTTCCTTTCTCTTTTAATTTTTCTCTCCTTTCTTTTTCTTTCTTTCTTTCTAAAAGCTAGTTCATTGTGATAAAAGCAGTAAACTGTTGGGAACACCCTAGGAAACACCCCCCCTTTCTTCACCTCCCCCCACCCCCTCCTCTTTTTCTTCAGTAGTAATGGTTTTAGGTTATGACTGTTTTTACATGGTTGAACAATAAGTTTGGGAGA